ATCCCACACTTTACATATATTTTTCTCAATTTTAGTTTAACGAGCCAATTTCGAGCCGAACACGAACACGAACACACTGTTCACGAGCCGATTTCGAACACGAGCTATTTCCTGTGAGCCGAACACGAGCCAAGCCTGAGCTCGCTCAAGCTCGGCTCGTTTACAGCCCTACTCATGACACGATGTCATGCATAACTCAAACCCTAAATATATTTTACCTATTTGTGCTAAATAATAATAAATGATAAATGACTAAATTGCCCTTAGGCACCGTCATAACAGCCTATGATTAAGTTCATCGTGTGAAAAGATACATTTTGTTAATGGGTTGACGAAATGAGAAAAATTGATGGTAGAAGCCCTGTGATTTAAAGGAAATGCTCTAGCATGGCATCAATTGAGATAACAACATTAACCAATCAAAACATGAGAAGAATTTAAAGACTGATTGTTAAAACATTTCAGGCTGATTAAATGGAAATGATTATCACATTATAATGTCACGTGAGAGCCATGTAACTTGATTCAAAAACAGTTTTCTCTCTTCCAACTTGAGAACAAGGTGCTTTTTTCTTTTGGAGGGGGGGGGAGTGGAGTAATGTTAAGCCAATGCATATGGTGCCATCCGCCAAATAATTCAAAAACTAATATTAGGCACATGACAAAAGACAATTAAGTCATTTGTTAGTTATTATTATGGAATATAAAATAAACCTAATATGTTTAGTGTTAGGTCATGTGTAATTGTTGTCTTGAATCTTTCAGAGAAATCGTCTACCCCTCGAATTGTAGGTATATATATTATATATTTTGAAGATTGTATTGTTTTGATTTAGTAACGGCGGAATAGAATCTACTATTTCTACCCTAATTCCTGCGGAAACTTGTCTCATTACTATCACAACAGTAAAAGTGTTACAGACCATACTACAGTGGTAACGCTGAAGTGACTATCAAATCAATTATAGTAACTATAGCAATACAAATAGAACAAAATAAGTTATTAACCTAGGGTGAACGAATATAGACATGGGGATATCAAAAACAACATCCATTTTCAAAAAAATAAAAATAAAAAAATTGAAGATGAAAAGTAACAAAAAGTAAAATATTCTCCTAATGTTAATACAAATACTGAATATCATTAAATCCTCCCTATAAAAATATTAAAAATGATTTTAGCATTAAAGTCTTATATACCCGAAAGAAGAAAAAAATGTATGAGTACAAGGATGGACATCAGAGTCCTTTGTCATCTGGAGAGATAGCTTAGAAGTAAAATGAGTATTATATAAAATATTTGCTGCTGGTTAATCTCCAGAAAAAAATTGTTAGTTCAAGAACATCACCAAAGGAATGGAAGATTCAGAAAAACATGTGTTTGAGGGATGAGATGAACTTCATAAAAGCTAGTTAGAATGCAGCTACATGCACACCACTACTTGTGTATAATTAGGGAAATAAATTCAAATTTTTAAAATAATCGAATAAACAAAAACCTTAGTAGAATGGTAGAAGCAATTGTAGGTTAAACTCCAAAATCCATATCCCACACTTTGTCGCAAGCTAATATCCCACAATCTCTCAAGCCATGTCCTGTATCTGTTGGTAGCATATGCAATAAATATCATTAACCAAATAAAGGTTCTACTACAGAAAAGAAAAGGGCTGTGTGCATATTTAGAGACTTAAGTGAGGATTGTACAAATTGCCTTTCAATTTCTTGTTTTTCAGTCCCATAAATTCTGACTGTCCTGATAAGAGAGAATGTTTCTTGGGAAACCTGGTAGAAATAAGCAAATAATCGAAGATCTTAGCCATTGTAGTCACATATATTACTAATATAACTCTCTGAAGAAAACTTACTTCATTTGCACGAGCACCAAAGTCTTGAATTAATTTTGCTACCCATTTCTGGAACCTGTTTTTACAAGAAAAGAAATGCAGATGAGCAAGTCTACGCCCACCAAAATAAATATTAGTCTTGACTACAATGGAGCTTCTTAGTATACATGAGGCCTGTCAACTCCTTTTATTTCTGAAAAATGATACTCTCACAAGTAAATCGATGCAATTAAATTTAAAAGATTATAGAGATCGTAGACATGTAAACAATCCTAAATTGGAAGATAAAGGAAAAAAATATCAGTTTGTTTATTAGTACAGGCTTTATTCGTTTTTCCAGTGCAAATTCGAAATTTTAATGCGGCTAGAAAATCTCAGGTATGCTAAAGAGAAGAAGAAACCAACTCAAAAGGCACCCAAAGCTATCCAAACAAGAAACGCTCCTTAGACCAACATTTCTACAAAACAAACATCTTTGGGTCTTTAAGTAGAAAGAAATAAATATTTTGTATTTTCCTATTCCAATTAGCGCCAAAACATAAGGCTTTGTGATTAGTTCTCTGGTATCTAAAAGCGGTTTACAAAATATGAAGAATCGCTAATTAAGGGTCAGTTTGCAGTTTGGAATGATTGCAATTGTTTATAAAATTTGTTGTGAAACTGTTATGGGAAAAGTAAAATTTTTACAAGTTTTGATTGGTGCTATAAAGTTTTCCCTACGGGAAAAAAAAAAGTTTAACAAGGGCCTTCTAACAAATGTCGCACGCATGCAGATCTAGCTCTAAAAAACTCATTATCAACAGAGCAATTTCAAAATCAAAAGAAAACATTTTAGCTATGTAAAAATGTGACAAAGAATTGTAAAATAGAGTTATTAAAAATCTGTGCCATGCTCCCTATGTCGACTCCATGTTACAAGCCTGCACAAATGAATGAGATATTCCTAAAAGTTGTTAATCCTACATTTAAAGAATAATCCATAATAATTTAAAAGGCTCTCAAAAATCTTTCCGAAAGTAATCTTAGAAGGATGAAATTGCATATATGAATTAAGGGACTAAATTTGCAAGTGAAAATCAAATAAGAGGATGGGACAGCGACGAAAAAAGAAAAGAGAAAATTAGGTGTAGAAAGCAAAAAAAAAAAATCAAAATTCACTCCATAATTTTTTTCTTTTCATACATTGGCCGACAACCATTTAAAAAAAAATTGAAGTCTTTTCCATTTTTAAGGGATGGGTAACCATAAGTTTAATAGATGTACAAAATTTAATATAAAATTTCCTAAATTGAAGCATTTAGTTGAATTGTAGTTAAACATGAGTTTAATCCTGTTATTATTCTATTTTGAAAAAAAAAATGGTGCTTCCTTCTCAGTCTCTCTCTATCTCTCTCTCACTTCCTTGATACCTATTGACCCCCTCCCCCTATTTCTCAATCCACGGTCAGCAAGCCACCAATCCCCCCATCATGCTCCCTCCCTCCCTCCCACCCTCTCTCTAATTTTTTAATACAAAACTGGCTTAGAGTAAAAAAATAAATACAGCAACACTCCTGCTTATTGCAGTCTCCAACTCTAACATTTACGAAAGATATTTAAACCCATGATTGTTTTCCTCCAAACCCGCACTGATTTGGTCCGGACAGAATTTATTCATCATTTAGGACAAAGACAAAAGCCATTATCCTTGAAATTATTCCATAGAAAACCTAGTATCTGAAACCTAAATTTTTTCCTGCATGTTCCATAAGCCTTTCTCACTTGATCTTGAATCATACATTTTGGCATTAGAGCATTAGTTCCGACCTATAAAAAATTTTGTCATGGTAAAATTAATGACTTGAATGAATACTCTTGGTGAATTTATGGAGTCCAAAAACTATAATAATGTGATGTTAATGACATCTGAAGGTCTCTTCATCCAGAAAGACCAGATGACCAAGCAAAAGGTGGTTCATATGGCTACAATGGCTGTCCTTAAAGCTAATAACTTGCAGAAGAGAAACCATAAACAAAAAATGAAGCTAAAAGACGTACAATAAGAAGAGAAGAAGAAGCTCTTACCATCGAAGTAGAAAGAAAGATGGAGTTGTCTTGCTTTGATGGAATGATCAAAGATAAGGGTAATGGACATGTAGTTCAAACTTTTGCCTTGATAAGAAAAAAATATGCATTTGCTCGTTTGAAGACGTCCGCACAAATTTCAATGTGCTAGAGTTCACAATCTAAAAACTATGATCAATAAAGCTTAACATGATTATAATTTAAAAGATAGTTAAAAACTCAATTTTACTCCATCAAACACAGAGGAAAACTAGATCCAATGGTAATAGTTGAAGCAAGATAATTAGAAAAATGTGCAAAAATTTATGTCCAAAAAAAAAAGAAGGGAAAAGAAAAAGTAAAACCTCACTACTACTTCAAAAAGGGTAATTTAACTAGAACTGTGCGTTGTCCTTAATGTTGCATGCATATGCTACTAAAAAGATAAATCTTTTCCACCATCATCAATGTTAATTTGGTTTCAAGGTGTGAAAATAATCTTCTAGCTGGAGCTTTCATGAAGAAACTTGGGCTATTCACTACCAAGCATCCAAAACATTGTTCACGGAGTTGATATCAAAAGAGAAATATCTATCAAGCACCAAGCAATGGACTCTTAGGTTTGCTTTCTTTAGAGATTTCATTGATGAAGTAATCTACGAAGTTGTACCAGTGGATGTATACAAAGTATATTGTATAATCTATCTAAATGGAATAAGGACAATATCTTCACTAGGAAATAGAAAAATTGTGTACTTGTAGAAAAAAATAAAAAGCATAGGGTCGATCTGTCTATCATTCTAGCTTTATAAATTGAAGACCGCCAAACTAGAGGAAACCATGAAGGAGTGAAGAGCTCTTCACTTAATAAAAAGCAAAAAAGGCACAATTCCGTTTTCATCTCTACTCCAAATGAAGAATCAAAGGCTAATATTGGCATCAAATGAGACTCTAGCCGACATATTACTCGAGACTCAATGGAACCCAAAAATAGAATATGCATATCGTTGTTGCTCGGGCGAGGCTCAAAAAATTGAGAATTGTGTAGCAAAACTAGATTTTCCTACCAAATGAGTGACATCAAGCAAAGTTTACTTTGAGTATGGAAGCAATGCCCAAGATATACTCGATTAGAAATGATTTTTCACATCCTATATGATTCATTGTGTAGGGAGCATTGTACATGTTTAAATGAGAGTATAAAAGCATATGTAATAAAACTAATGCAAAAGAAAAAATAAACAACACATAATCGAAGTGATTATTTTTATTCCCACATAAAAAATATGTGATTTGACAATCAATAAAAACAATTTAGTTACAAAATAAATTTTGAAGATGAGATCTACAGGGAGGAAATGAATGAAGCTGACAGATAGTACACCTAATCAATGGCCTAGACCAAGGGTTTCGTTGGCGGGGAATCAATGGGTTTTATCCTATGATAAAAAATCAGCCCGGTGATTATAGGCTACGGGTTTAAAGGTTCTTTGGTGGTGACAAAGTTGTCAGCTTATAACCAACAGGAGGACAAGAGGGGACTAAAATCGACGAATCCAAAAAATTTTGGCATTATCGATCCTACACCTTGGTACAAGGTAGTGCCAAGCAACGGTCGACGGATGTGCTAACCCTTGAGGATTTCCATGGCTTGGTAGATCAGAGATGCGGCCAAGGACAGATTGTGGTTAAGAGCATCTACTTGACCTGAAAAACTCATTACATTGCCATCTTAAATTCTCTTCTTAGTCTATGGATCTCTGTAGTAGGATTTCTTCTAAGCGTCTCTGTAGTAAGATTTCTTCTTAGTGTCTCTGTAATATCTTGGGTTTGTGTTAATTTAATAACATTTTGATCATCTCAGTTGCTATAAATTATTTGTGACAATATTCTTTTGGTATTGCCTTGTGTGTGTGTTAGTGATTATTCACTTTTAGAACAATAAATCTCCCTTTTATCTGCTTCAAAATCCTAAGTATTTAGCCACAGAAAATTATTTTCTCTAAGCCATTTAAAGTTTGGTTAGAACTTCGAGTACACATCATATTTTGCCAATGATAAAACAACTCTTCTCCCATCATCCTCGTCCAGACACATTTATTTTTGTTATGCATCAACAAGACTTTCCTGCAAGCTCGTCTTCATTCTCTTTCATGGGGAAACCTAAACAACAGGTTATCTCCTACTGCTTTACCCCAGAGCCGCCACTGCCTCTACTTAGAGAAAAAAACTCACCAACTTCAACATCCTTTTCTCACCACATACCCACATCCATAAGAAGTCGAACTCTAAACTGATCAATCCCTCTGCTTCCACCTCCATTTCTCCCCTAAAACAATAATCATAAAATTTTTGAGTCTCTTTCTGACTAACAGCTTATCGAGCTTACATAATAGTACTCTGAAGCCAAAGAGCAGCTCAATCGTAGATCTACTAAGCAAAAAATCAACATTTATTTGCACTATATATTTCTGAGCCAAACTTCAGGGATAAATGTTACACAACTTCGGGTTCTAGGCTGCAAAAGAAATAATATACTGCAAAAATCCTAAATAAGAAATGCAAGATAATTTACATTTAATAATGGAGTGGAAGAGCAATAATAATCATAAACTGACAGCTGATAAATTTTGTTATTAATTGTTAGAACCCAAATTTTGATATGAAAAAAAAGATTTTTTATAAAGGTAATTTCGAAAAAAAAATATACCTACCGTCCATAAAAGAACAACATAATTGCCAAGCAAGCACAGATCACAACCGTTGATATTGCAAGAGGCCAAGATATCATAAAAAGAGCAATCAGTGCACCAATTCCCTGTAAATGCAAAAACAAAATGGCATTTTATAGCTCCCAAAAACTATGAAACTCCACCCATATCATATATAGCACCTGAACCACATTTCTACAAATCACGTTAAGATCATTTCCGATGACACGAGATACTTGCTGACAGTCTGAACTAAGCCTATTCGTTAAATCCCCAACTGTTTCTTCATCAAAAAGGGTCATATCCTGAAAAACAGAGAGAGAGAGTTGTAATTAAGGAAATATAAAATGGCAGCATTAGTAGCACGAGAAGCTCTTCGGATCCAAAGAGAACCTGGAAAAGTAGAGTGGAATATAACGTTTCTCTCATTCTTTTGACCTGCAGTAACCCACAAAATCAAACTCATGGCACTCTCCATCAACCAAAAAACCACCCAAGTTAAAATGAAATAAATAGAACCAATCCATCAATATTTTACCAATATCATATTTGCAAGGCCAAAGCAGCAACTCCGCAATCCACTGATCACATTAAGCAAATTAGTATGGAAACATTTTCGCAATGTCTTCAAAAGTATGCTAACCATTTGCGGATAAAAAGCATCATAGCAATTTCTCATTATGAAAGAGATAATTTTTTTTTAGTTCCACCACGTCTATGAAACTTATAATTATGTGAAAAACTGGAGTTATGAAGTAAGATTAAGAATGTTATTATGAACTAGAAATAAGATCAGGAGTTTTGTGGGAGCATTTAAATATCTTCATATATATTTTTTTTTATTTTGAAGAAGTTATGTCTGAACATAAAAGGGTTAAATTCTAGAATAGTCCCCCAACTATTCAGATGTGACTGATTTAGTGCCAAAGTTTTGCAATGCTCAAATTTAATCCTCGGCAATTAAAAATTGATCTAAATTAATCCCTTATGGACTAATATAGGATCAATTTTATATGGTAAAGAAACTAATTGAGTTCGCTTCTGCGTCAAGATTTCTACATAAGGGGCCATTTTGGATCAATTTATATAGTCAATGCACTAAACAAGAACAATGTAAAACTTTGAGACTAAATTGGCCACATTAGAACAATCGGGGCACCATTTGAGGATTTATTCCAAACATAAAAATTAAAAAGGAAAAGAGAAAAAAAAAAAGAGAGCAATCAAATGTTAAATGCAATATTAGGGAAAATGCAATTAGCCAAAAACAAATGTGGAACAATTTCTTTTCCACAACAACCTGATAGTAGCAGTCTTACATGTGATATATCCTAGGAATATAAACATAACCAGCCAATACTTGCTAAAAACTTGAACAACAAGGCGTAAATTACAATTGCAGCTACTCAAACATCACACTTCCGGATTATTTTATAAAATTCAGGGGGAAAGAAAAGAAGGGGCGCTAAGAACAGAAAAAAAAACCATTGAAAATGTTAACCTGCATATTCCGGATAACAAACACAATGAAAGTACGATCTTTGCATTCCTGTAGAATACCATGTTTTTGCCACTTTGTGCAGAAAAAATAGATGCCGTCAGGAAGTGTGGTATTCCTAGTTCTGAGAGCTGCAATTTGAATGAAGAATTAGCAGAAAAAAATCATTAAGTAAATAAGATAACAATTTACTACTCTCGAGAACATTCAATTAATCAGGACAGAATATTGAAACTAATGCCAATAAGAAATTAAAACTAAAAACAAGTATAACAGAGTCTTCCACCTCAGAACTGAACAACAGAGAGGAAGCCACTTCCCATTTTAGTAAAGAAGGAATAATATTTGCTAGACATCCCAGTAAGATGATTCTAATTCAGTGCAAAGCTGATAGTAAATATATCAAATACACATTTTAGCCTGTTGAGCCAGTAAACAAGAAACAAAAGAATTCAGTCTATTGATATGGTTAATAGCGTGGAGTACAAGTTTAACAGCCGCCGGAAAGACACTGTAAAATCCGGTTTATAAAAATAAATAAATAAAATGAACCAGCAATATCAATTCAACGGAACCGGCTATCAACTTTCGAGAAAATTGGTTGAATGTTTTTTTCCTTTGCTTTCATTCCATTAAATAATAATTTGTACAATCTATTTTATAATTTGTACAATCTATTTTAGTATTTTAGCCAACTTAATAATATATAATCCTCAACTAAATGTTAAGTTATAAGGAAAGAATATGTACAATTAACAAGAGAGAAAAATCAGAAGCAATTTAAATAACTCTTAATTCTGCTTGATTTTTGTCACTCTTGATTAATATCCTCCCTCAAATTGATGTTGACTGATCAAGAAGCATTAATTTGCCAACAAGAAATTGATGACGCTGCCGAGAAAGTCTTAGGAATTATATCAATCGTTTGAAGATCAGAAAAGATATAAGTAAAAGAAATAACACTATTATCATAAGCTTCTCGAATAGAAAGACAATACATTTCAATGTGTTTCGTGCACTCATGAAAAATGGGATTAGCAGTAATCTGCATAGCACTAGTATTATCTGCATAAAAAGAAGTAGACTCAAGTTGAGAAAAACCAAGCTCAGCCATCAAACCCCGAAGCCAAATGAACTCAAAACAAGCAGAGGATATAACACAATATTCAAACACAGTAGAAGACTTAGACACTTGATCTTGTTTCTTACTCTTCCAAGAAATTAAAGATTCGTCAAGAAACATAGACCAACCAGTAATAGATCAACATGTATCAAAACAACCAGCCCAATCAGCACCAATATAGGTTGTTAAGCAAATAGGAGACTCCGCAGAAAAGAACAAACCACGATGATGAGTACCTTTCAAATACCTGACAATACATCGAACTGCAGCTAAATAAAGATCTACATAAATCGACTAACTTGTTGCACAACAAATGAAATATAAGAATGTGTAATGGTTAAATAATTGACACTCCCAACAAGTTATCGATACAGAGATAGATCAGAGAGAAAGTAACCATCATTTCGTTGATATTTAACATTCACTTCCAAAGAAGTATCAACAGGACAACCTCATTGGTGACCAGCAAAAGCAATGAGTTCCTTAGTACAGTTATGTTGATGAAGAAAAATATCTGCGGGAGAAGAGTGAACCTCAAAACCTAAGAAATAAGTTAAATACCCAAAATCCTTCATATGAAAAAAACTCTGAAGACGCTTCTACAATTGAGATATCATTTGAGTATCAAATCCTGTGATGACAATATTATCAACATAGACTATTAATAACACAATTCTCTTGTCAGCCTTACAAAGAAATAATGAATAATCATACTAACCTTGAATAAAAGAGAAGCTAAGAAGAGTATTGTGAAACTTTTCAAAATAGACCCATGGAGCATGTTTCAAACCGAATAGAGAGTGTTTTAGCTTACAAACATCATATGAGAGTGTGGAAAACAAACCCAGAGTAAGATTCATATAGATATCTTCCTTGAGGTCCCCATGCAAAAATGTATTCTTAACATTCATCTGTCGTAAGGACTAACTTTTAGATGCAGCAATAGGTAGAACAAGTTGAACATTTATCATCTTAGCCACAGATGCAAAGGTCTGTTCATAATCAATCTCATATTCCTATCGATTTACAAGAGCTACCAATCTAGTATTATATCTGTCAAGGGAACCATTAGATCGAAGCTTAACAGAAGAAACTCGTTTACAACCAATGGGTTTAACACCTGCAGAACATGAAATAATATCCCAAGTATGATTGTCTTGAAGTGTATGAAGTTCCTCTTGCATTGCCTTTATCCAACAAGTCTGTTTAGCAGCCTGAGAATAAACGGCGTAGCCAATAAAATCACGCCACGTGCGATAGGAGAAAAAAACGGCGCAGTAATACGGGGAATATTCCCCTCCGTGTTATTCATGTGTTATTGTGTGTTATTCATGTGTTATTGTGTGTTATTCATGTGTTATTGTGTGTTATTCATGTGTTATTGTGTGTTATTCATGTGTTATTGTGTGTTATTCATGTGTTATTGATGTGTTATTATGTTATTATAACATCAAGAATATTCCTAGGACACAATAACACATGAATAATACACAATAACACATGAATAACACGGAGGAGAATATTCCCCGTGTTACTGCGCCGTTCTTTTTTCTCTGTCGCGCAGGGTGTCGTGGCGTTATTTTCTTGGCTACGCATGTTACTCTACGTGCGTAGTACTGATGTAATATTTTTTCGAGAATAAGAGGTAACAATTGCAGTATTAGTTAGAATTGCAGAATAGTCATATTTATCCGGAGGAAGGATGTGCCAAGTTGATCGTCGAAGAATCATTGGAGCATTTTCAGGAGCAAAGTTTGGAAGGACTGAAGGCGAAGCGTACAGGCATCGTGTGCAGACAAGGCCAGGCATGAACTGTTTATCAAAAGAAGAATCATCAAAGTAAGGAAGTACAAATGCATCAAATGTTGAAGGATGATATTGAAAAGAGTATTTGTATTCAAAGAAAACCACATCCCGAGAGATACATCATCGATTATTAATTGAATCAAAACACACAAAATCTTTATGATTAGGATTGTAACCCATAAAGGCACATCGAACAGATTGGGCTGTCAACTTATGACGTTCATTGGCAAGTAAATGAACAAAACAAGCATATTCGAAAGTATGTAGCATATGATGATTAGGATGTTTACCAAAAAATCGATAGCATGAGAATCAAACTTCAATTGTTAAGATGATAAATGATTAATCAGATAAACTGCAGTAAATAAAGCTCCAATCCAAAACTTTGTTGAGACAGAAGATTCAAAACAACAATGAGCGCATCATATCCAACAGATGCCGATTTTTCTGTTCGACAACTCCATTTTGCTGAGGTGTATAAGGACATGAATGTTGTGAAATAACACCCTTGTTAAGGGACAATGCTTGAAACTCATGAAACATGTATTCACTACCATTGTCAAGCAGTAAGGTTTTAATACAAGTGAGAACTGAGTTTCAATATATGTCACAAAGTTTTGAAACACAATAAACACTTCTGTTTTGAAATGCAGAAATAGATTCATGTGAATCGACTGTAATAGTCGACAAATGTCACAAATTATTTATACTGAGCGTGTGAAATGACCGATGTAATTTCTCATATATCATTGTGAATAATGTCAAAATATTTATTGGCACGACTACCCAAAATGGAAAAAGACAATGTTATACTTTTGTCCAGTTTATAAGAAGAGCAATCAACAAATAAATTTTTATATGTAGAACCAAAAATACCACTTTGCAACAAATAATTCAAAACAACACTATTTGGATGACCTATTTGTCTATGTCAGACGCTAGTCTTATTTTCAACAACTAAAAAAAACTAATGACAAAGTCCAAGGAACGGTAATTTGTAATGGAAGTAACTTACCCATTTTAAGCCCCTTTACTATCACCTTCCCCCACTTAATCATGCACAATACAACCATCACGAAAAAAATGTACATCGAAATTATTAACCATCATTTGGCTAACAGAAAGTAAGTTAGTAGATAATTTAGGAGAAAACAAGATATGTCGGAAGGAGGAGCTAATATCACCGACTGTCGTAATTGGAATATCATTTCCATCAATATCCTGGTTATGTTGAGTATCAGTATACGAGTGTTGATTAGGCAATAAATCAGTTGTGTCAGTCATATGATTTGTGGCGTTGGAATTAACAAACCAAGGAGAAAAAACATAAGCAATAGTCTTACCTTTCACTTAAAGACCAAGAGCAGAAAATACAAAGAGAATTATCTGTTGAACCATATTTGGTGTGAGAACGAATTGATTATTGTCAGCAATTGTGAATATCAAATCAAGATTATGAGAGTCAGATACAGCAATATAAAGGATCTGAGGTCTGTGATTTTGATGTCGTGTCGGACACTCCTTAATAATATTTTTGTTTTCCATGCAATAATTTCATAACTTATTACTACAATGGCGGGCAACATGACTGAATTTTTTGCAGCTATAACACTGCTTTGTTCCCTTCCCTTTGGTTCCAGCAGCATATGCTACATTAACTATTTCAGATGAAACACCAACTGCACCGATAGAGGCTTGTATTACCAATTTTTGTTCTTTGCAGAATAATTCACTAAAACATGCATCCAAATAAGAGATCAGATCTCTATTCAACAACTCAGCCCAAGCAGTTTCAAATTCAGGTCCGAGCTTCATCAAAAACTGATCAGGACGACTCACTTCATGAATAGTCTGAAGACTAGCTAAGTTCTCTTTTGACACCTTAACATAGATAATACCAAAATATTCACTCCACAAATTAAGAAAATCAAAGTAATATTGTTCAATTAAGAGAATATAATGACTATAATTATTCATATCAAGTTCCAATTGAAAGCTTCTTGCATTATGATTCTGATTGCAGACGCGTTTCAAGTATTCTCACATTTATTTAGCTATGTCAAAGGATCTTAAATTATTCATCATATGAACCTCAATAGAACCCAAAATCCAAGAAAAAATCTGAGCAACATTTATCTCTCATTGACCAAGATCTTTCAGCTCCGAGGTGCTAGAAAAGACCCATCATTATGACCCCAAAGCTTCTTCCCTTTCAAAAACATCTTAAACTGAAATCCTCATGCTGCATGATTTTTTCTCATAAATCTAATAGCTAAGATTTCATGTATTTTCTCTCTCATAAGACATTTTAAACAGAATTGTCACTCACAAGTTGATTGTCAAGGAAGTTGTTAATCGAAAATAATCAACCTAAAACCAAAAAAAAAATCAAGAGAAACCCTATGAAAATAGGCCGACAACTTCCCCGTGAAAAGGCCTGAACACGGGGAACTTGTTAGTACCAAGAAACTCCTAAGGTCAGCACGATGCTCCTCTAAGCTCGAGCATGACTTTAGTGCACGAAAACAGTCGAAAGAGAAGGCGGGGAAAAGCTCTCGGGCTCGTGAGGACAGAAAATCGATCATTCAGAAGCTGTGTGAGAGAGGTTCGGCTTAGCATGAGGGATCAACTCTCATTGGAACAGGATAAAGCAAGTTGTTACAAGGCAGAAAGGAGCTAAGAGGATTGTTGGAGTCTCTGTGCAAGGGCTTCTGCGTGTGAACAAGAAGGCAAGGGCGGGATCAATGCGACAATGAAGAGCACGGGATGGAAACGCGTCGATCGGACAAGAATTGAAGATCTGAGATTACCAAACCCAAAACAAACCAACAATTCCAATAATAAAGAAAACTAAAGATTGAACTAAGTATTCAGTTGTGTGGTTTTGATATCATATCAACTTTTGAGAAAATTGGTTGAATGTTTTTTTTCCTTTGCGTTCATTCTATTAAATAATAATTTGTACAATCTATTTTAGGTAACCTAATAATACATAATATTTTATACAACCAATTTTAGGTAACCAAATAATATATATTCCTAATCTAAATATTCGGTTATAAGGAAAGAATATGTACAATTAACAAGCGAGGAAAATCAACAGCAATTTAAATAAGGAAACTCTTAATTCTATCTAATTTTTGTCATTCTTGATTGATACTGACAAGACATTTCTGCCTAATAGAGTGAGGGGAAGAAACAAAGTCGAAAGAAAGATCAAGCCAACATGAAAGAGCCAAAGAGGTAGAGAGAGAGAGATTGGGTGGCCGAATGGGCAAAGGAAAAAGTATACAAGAAGTGAGCAATTCAAAGAAGATCAGAAGCAAGAACGATGACCATTAAGGAAGGTATAGATTTCGAGCACAGGTGCAATTCAAGGTAATCAACTTGAATTTGATTGCTCGCATTTATATGCCCTAAGATTAGCTTTTAATAGCAAAATAACTTTTTTAAGGTGCTTGCTCAAACTTTAAATCAACTCTAATTAAATAATACACTACTTGTAAGGCCTATAAACTTCAGTTAGGGCAATATTGATAGGAAAGTCACAAAAGTGAGAATAAATGAACCAAGTGATATGAGGGTAAAAGGAGTGGTTAATCATCCTCGTCTAGCATTACAGACAACTTCACCGGTATGATGGCAACAGTAACACAATTAATTAAGATTATCACTTACAAGCAAGTAAGTGAAGTAGAGAAGCTACAATAGAAAAATAATTTGAATTAAGATAAGAGGACGCCCCATTTTTTCTAAAACCAGAATATGAATTAACGCTAAGAGCTAATGATGCGAGTTAAGAAGATTATTGACAGTGTGCCATGCCCTTAGGATAGAAGAATAACACTTGCCGCATTTGTTAATGAGGGTAAAGCAGAGGGTTCCAGAGAAACAATTTTGTGGAGACTTTTCATAAGTGGTTTTTGTCTCTTCCTGCAATAAGGTAAATGCAATATAAATACACTAGATTGGTGCAAGAAGATAAATCTACTGACTACTATGCAATATGAAGAAAATTTTATCACGCTTTTGAAGTATGCATCATAGCTAATTCCAAACGCAGATGTAACGATTTCTAAAAGAATTAAAGAATGTGATAAAAAAAAAATCAAATTCTCATAGGAATTGACAATTATTCTATGTTAGTGGAAAGAACTTGAAGACTGAAGATATATCTTCTAGCTATGCAGAGATACAAAGAATTTCAAAAAAAAAAAAAGAATAAATCAAAAGGATCAAAAATAAATCAAAAGGATCAAAAATAGAAAAATGCAAAAGGATATAAAATATGCAGGTTTCTAAAGCTGCAAAACTCTAGCATGAAGAAATCAAATCGAGCAGTTGTGAAAGTAATATAATTATCAAGAACTAAGTGTGGAAGAGCACATAAGAGAATATTTTTCTAGGACTAACACTTAATTTTGGTCATATTAGCAACTGACATGTAACGAACAATTGTCCTAATCTTTGACAAAAGTACTTTGGCAAATTTATTACAAAAGAGTGTCGCACCATCTCAAAGAAGTCTAGACAAATAAAAAATAATAGAATCAATTACGCTAGCGCCAAACAAGAATAAAACTCAAAAAAATAATCAACCTGTGTGTATACTCTATCACAACAAGAGCCTATAAAATTGCTAACATCATCATGGGTATAATTTTCATTAAAATAAACTAGTCAATTTTTTGCTGGGCACTAGAACATCATCTTCTTTTTTTCTGGCATCATCACAGCTAAAATTTATATTCAAAATAAATTTATCAAAATTTTATTTAAGGTTGGAGCATCAAATATTTCACTTCTACGGATTTTGTTAAATATATTGTTTTACATATTTCAATTATTCATCTGAGATTATCATTGTTATGCCAAATGGAGTCAATACAAATGTAAGCAGAATATATCGAGAAAATTTATAAATTTGTGAGAAAAATTTTGAAGCAAATCTAATTTTCTTGCCACAATTTGAATTGGGATGGAAGGTTATCAAATAATTTCATTACGATCGATTGTCGCAAGGAATTGGACAATTTCAATCTTCCAGGAGAAAAAGAATTCAAATTTTATGAGGATCAAAGAGTAACATCGAAAGTAATATTAATTTTGAAAGCTTTAAAGTGCTGAATAGTATTTAATGATGTGACAGAGAACATGAAAGAATTAAAGGATATAGCAATAGTGAGAGAATATCCCCAAAACTTTTTATATGATTTACCTAGTTGAACCTTGGTAAGAGAGATGGCTTCACAATTGATCTGGTACCCAGCTCAGAACCAATGACAAGAGCACCACATAGAATGGAAATTAAAGAATCACAAGGGCTGAAAACTCAACTATAGATATTATCAGACAGATTTTATAAAATTTGGTATTTCTTCATGGGTAGCCCCGATATGATTCATAAGAAAAAAGAATGTAAGTTCAAAAATGTGCACTGACTAAAGAGAATTGAATAAGCTTATCATTAAGAATAAATATCTATTAAAGAGGACTGATGATCTATTTGATCAAATAGAGAAATCTTTCATTTTCTTCAAAATTGATTTATGATCAAGATATCATCAATTATACATTAAAAAGATAACAAGGTCAAAAAAATATTTAGAAAGAAATATTGTTACTATGAATTTAGGATAATGCTTTTTAGACTAACAAATAATGTAATTTTAGACTGTTTTAAGATGTAATTTTAATCGTATTCCTCGGTAATATTCTTCTCTATTTAATAGATGAGGCAAGTTACACCAATCATCTTCATGTAGTATTACAAATACGAAAAAGATATGAGTTATAGAGCTTTTTAAATATGAATTTTGGCTAAATAGTTGCCTTTTTGAGACACGTGATTAGTGGCAACGGCATTTCAAAGAATTCAAATAAGATTAAAGCAACTGCAAATTGACCAAGACCAAACACTATATAGAAGTAAGAAATTTTCTAAGCCTGGCAAAATATTGCATCCTGATTATTGAAAGTTATACTAAGATTTCTATGTTGCTGTCAAGATTAATTCTAAAGGTAATTAAATTTAAATTGAATGATCATTGTGAATAACCTTTACTTAAAGTGAATTACAGCTAAACAGCTGTCATTTGAGATATGAAATTAGCAGCAAAGGCATTTTTGTAAATCAAAACAAGATTAAAGCATAAGAGTATGATCAAAGCCAACAACTAGTAAGAAATTTTTTATGCTTGGCAGGGTATTAGGGAAAATTTATTGAAATTTTTCCTATATTGCCATATCATTATTTGATTGACTCAAAAAAAAGTTAAATTTCTCTACATGAAAAAATTATCCTATCTGACATTTTCAGTACACTCTCCATCGTATATATATGCACGGCACTTCTTTAAAAATACTCTGTCATTTCTAGCCTCTCCTCCATCGTACATATATGCACGCCTCTTCGTAAGCACTCTCATCTTTGCTTTACATGAAAACATGAGAATAATTTGACCCTCAATTTAAAAAATATAAAACTATAATTAAAGTAATCCTAAAAATCTAGGTAAACCCTCCATTCGTAGCGTCCACCCTCTCCCGTACTTGTCTCTCGTCCCTCCTATATGCAACCGCATTCCTAAAGCCCTCTCTGACAAAGAAGCAAAGAAGACTCAATGGGGGATCAACAAAGAAGATATTTACAAGCTTATCGGCATATGAAGAAGAAGAAGACATGACAAGCGCTCGTTGAGAGAAGGCATTGGCAAGAATAAGGGCTTTTGAAGGAGAAGTTCTCACAAGAGCTCACTAGAGAAGATTAGATGAGGCCAGCACATGCAGAGAAGAAAATGAGTTCAGGAGACTTGAAGATTTAACTTAAATCCAACAAAGCTAGGATTTGTTGAATTCAAGAATTAAGACAAAACAGAGTAGAAATGAGATTAAGATTTTGCAGGATTAAGGTTACCATTTTGGGTGTTTGATGGGAATTAGGTAAAACCCTACTAAGCTATTGTTCAAAGCTTTTTGTCAAATTGCAACCTCTCTCTCTCTCTCTCTCTCTCCCCCCTCTATCTCTCTCCCTCTCCCTTTCTTTTCATCTCTCCCTCTTTGCTTCTCTTTCTCTCTTATACTCTCTCCCTCTTCTCCTCTATACAGAGAACACTAAAAGAGAAAAAAAAAACATTTATATTTCATTCTCTTGTCACATGCCAACTTTGTTGCCTTGTTTTCATCATCATAGTCATGCGTGCAAGTATAATGCAAAGCAAGCAGCTTGCCCTAACATTTAAATATTCAGACGCATTGTTCCGACATGACAGAAAACTTATATATTGATTGCATAATTCTTTTCAGGAAAATGACAAATACACAACTTTTTTGGCATGATGAGAAAAAAATATATATATGCTTTTTTTGGGCGGTGAAAGAAAAAAGATTGAGCCGCTAAAAATAAGTATAATTCATGCCTTTCTTGAAGTAATAAAGAATTTTGTTGTTATAAGATTTCCAGGCTAGTGCTATGAAATCCCTCGAGTAGAATGAAGTTGAACTGTTAAACATCGAGCCCCTTTTGGTGTTACGATTGAAGTTTTGATAGAAACTCCAAAATTAAGTGTGCTCGTGTTGGGGCACTCATGGGATGAGTAAACTCCTGGGAAGTTACACCAACGGGACAAAATCTTGAGGTTGTCAGACCAAAACAAATAATATCACATGGATAAGAGTTTAGGTTGTTAAAAATGGCAAAGCATTGCACCAGTCTGAAAATTGGAATATATGTCTAGTGAATGATTATGGGTTAAGAATACTAACAATGATGTCAATTTGCTTAAGTGTGGCAGATTATGAAACCTCTTAAATAGGATAAAGTTCAAAACTTAAACATCAAGACTTACTTAGGTGTAACAATTAGAGTTTCAACATAAACTCAAGAGTTAAGCATGCTCAAGTTGGAGCACACTTGGGATGCATAACCTCCTAGGAAGTTACACCAATCGGGCAAAACCATAAGGCCCGTAGGCCAAAGAGGACAATATCTCCTGGCTGAGAGTTTGGGTTGTTATAGGTAGAAATACGCATATATGTCTTTCTCGGTTTGATGAGAAGATACAAGCTTACAGTCTTACACAATACCTATATACATTTTTCTTAACGTGACAAGCAGGCCCATGCTGCCCATAATGTGCTGGTCGAATTTCTCAACAATTGGACTTAAAACTAAGCAAACTTGAATGACTTTCTAAACCAAATAAATAAATAAATAAATTGTTTAAGAAGAAAATTTTGGTTTCCAATCTTATGTTAGTATTATATGTATTAGGTAAAGAAACATGTATTAGGATCTTTAATGGATAATCCAGTGGAAGATTTTTGTTTGGATTGTACTATTTTCATCATGACCTACAAGGAAATCATGGATATAAACCTGAACTACTGTACCTAGTAAAGCTCCTTGTACATATGTTTCACATTTTCAATTCCAAAATGAAGTTAAGTACAAAATATCCAATTTTGAGGAAAGATAAAATTACATGAAATTTTATTTACAAAATTTTATTTGCCCGTACAAATCCAAATGCCAACCTCCTACCCTCCAACTCTCAATTTTATGGAAAAAATTTGCGTACGTCAAGGGGTACGCAGAGATGCGTATATAATAGGGTACACGGGCATTATATGAGGGTTACATGGGGATTACAAGCGTGTTATAATTTCCTTGTAACTTTTGTGTAACTCAGCTATAACCTGCGTTTTTATTTTATCCATTGAGATTACAATGTTACAGCGGGGTTACACGGGAGTTATATGGGAGGTTACACGGGAGTTACACGGGGGGTACAACGGGTTATAACCCCCTTGTAATTCCCGTATAAACCCTGTGTACCATATTATGTACGCATCTCTGCGTACCCCTTGACGTAGGCAAATTTTTTCCCCATTTTATAGAGGTGAAGGAAAAAGTTTTCTTTTAATACCAAAGA